ATATTATTAATTACTTATTAAATTTTTATTTCTAAACATTTCTTTTTAAAAATTTAAATATATATTTTATTTTACCTTTTCTATCACCATTTATTCCCCATAATTTCTTCCACCGCCTCCCACACCCTTCCCCCCTGCAGTCACTTCACTGTTGTCAATGTCCATGAGTCCTTTTTCTTTTTTTTCTTTTTTGTTGTCAATGTCCATGAGTTCTTTTTCTTTTTTGCTCAATCCTTCCACGCCTGACCCCTCCCCCTAGCTGTCAGCCTGCTCTCTTATGTGTGAGTTTGTCACTATTTTGCTTGTTAGTTCAGTTTCTGTTTAGTACTTAATCCCCTCCAGTTTGTCTTCAAATTCTTTTATTTTTATTTTTTTAATGTTTTTATTGATTTTTTAGGGAGAGAGAGGAAGGGGAGAGCAAGAGAAGATAGAAACATCAATGATGAGAGAGAATAATTGATAGGTTACCTCCTACATGCCCCTTACTAGGATCAAGCTCATACACTGGGCATGTGCCCTGACGGGGAATTGAACCAGCAAACTCTTAGTGCATGGGACGATGCTCAATCCACTGAGCCATGCAGACCAGGCTATCTTCAAATTCTTTTAAATTAAAAGCTGAAGAACTTACTACAAAGAAATAATAAGAATGTTAATGTGTGCTCTGGGCCTAACATCTTAGAAGCAAAATCCTAGAGGGCATAGCTTTTTAAAAATATATATTTTTATTTCAGAAAGGAAGGGAGAGGAAGAGAGAAATAGAAACATCAATGATGAGAGAGAATCATTGAATGCTGCCTCCTGCACACCCTCTACTGGGGGTTGGGCCCGCAACCCAGTCATGTGCCCTTGACCAGAATCGAACCCAGGACCCTTCAGTCCACAGGCTGACACTTTATCCACTGAGCCAAACCAGCTAGGGCAAGGGCATAGCTTTTTAATTTGTGTTTTCTTTATGAAAAATTGTGAAGTGAATGAGTCTGTGTTTTACTCCTTTGTCTTTCCCTTTCTAATGTTTTTGCTCCCACTGTTCACTTTGTCTTCTATCTACCTCAGGTGCCTGCTGCCTGGACTAATTCATTTATTACTCACACTGGACCTCCTTCCAAAAAAAGAATAAGTCTTCAGATAATAAAAAGCACAAATACAATAAAATCATTAAAACAGGGATAGAGTTAAGCAATAAAACAGTAGGGATAATTGAGTAGACCATTTAGAAAACACTGCAGCTCATCATAAAATTTAACCCTCAACAATCTGGTAGCAACCAGAAACAGAAAGGTGAAATTTTGCCATCTTATCCAGTTAGGATATTGACTCACTCATAGAGAAAACTTTTTCTTGATTGTAAATGCTGAGATCAGTATAAAGAACAATGTACTTGATTGTATTTCTGTACAAATGATAATATAATTTACATGTAATTATATCTCAAAAAAAGTCAAAAGTATAATGCTAAATTATATACAGGTAGTTCTGGTGTACCAGAATGATGTAATCTGGATATGATGCTTTTTAAAATTTACTATTTCACTGGCTTGATTATTCCCAGCCCTTCCAGTCAGGTATTAGTTCTACTTCTTTATGTATTTTTGTTTGTCTGTTTATATTTTGCAGACATTCCCATGATAGTTGCTAGACTTTCAACATCTGTGGAATGAGAAAATGTATAACAATAAAAGGCTATTGTGTACATTTTATGTACATTTGTATTTTATTCAGAAAAGCTAACTATTGGCATTTATTGAGCACTAATTTTGTATCAGATATTAATTTATTGTTTATATAGATTCCGATCATTTGAAGACTAAAATGTTAATTCCATGAGGGCTAAAATTTGTTTTGTCCCAGGTGTATGGTATATGCCAGTCACTCTCCTGGAAAGTTATTATTTTTAACTTTGTAGTAAATAAGTATCTGATGGGGGATATAATTAAAAACTTTGTAAATGGCCTGTTTCTCATAATTTTGCACTTCAGTTTTAGAATTGAAAGAGTTATTACTATGATGATTGCCAAGTGGAAAAGTTCTAACTCCATTATTCTTTTTGCATTTATTAGCTGTAAGAGCTTTCCTTTCTCATTTGTCTGTTTATCAGTGTGGACACCTGAGTTCTTATTTTATTCAATGGGTTATGATCAGTTACTATCATTAGTTTGCTCAAATTTGGTCAGTGGGAACCCCTTCAATCTGACTCCTATGTGTTTCTGACATGTTCATTATTCTTTGAATATGTCCTTTTGACACAAGATGTTCCCAGCCCCACTCCTGGAATTAGTCGTTTCTCCAAGGAGTCCAGGTTCCTTTTAATGGGACATTGAATTTAGAAACTAAGATCTAGGGGTTAGGAGTGCTTTTAGTTAATGTTTAGTGTTCTTGTTTATTAACTCTTGCTGACAGGGTTATATATGCATATGTATATATGTATATATTTGTGTGTGTAAATAAAACCAGTAAAATGTAATAGTGGAAAAAAGCAGTATTACTAAATTAATGTATCTTATTTTATGCAATTAAAATATGTTTATAGTTAACACCTAAATATTGTAGGTCACCATAATATTACATCTCAAAAATATTAATAGTGGTTAAAACTTTTTATTTGGATAGCTGATTATTTCCTTGCTAGAGTCCCGTTGAACGAAGAGATTCATGCAGTAGGCCTTCCCTTCCCCTGGCTGCCGGCACCGGTTTTCCTCCGGCACCTGGGACCCAGGCCTTCGCTCCGTACAGAACCTTCAGTCTTCACGGCTCTGGCCGGAGCCTTCAGTCTTCACGTCTCCGGCCAGAGCCTTCAGTCTTCGCTCTGCCACTTTGCCCCTATGTATGCAGATTAACCGCTATCTTTGTTGGGTTAATTTGCATACTCTCCTGATTGGCTGGTGAGCGTAGCAGAGGGATGGCTAATTTACATGTTTGTCTATTATTAGGTAAGATATTTGGGGTTGCCATATATCTGACATATGTGCAGTTTTCACCAAGGAGGGGAATATGCTAGTTACTAGCTTAGTTTTCTTATGAATCTTTTCTACTTTGGTGTAGCACAGGCTAAAAAAATATTTTCATGGATTACCAGTTTCTTATTAGAATCATGATTATAAATGAGCTCTCAATGCTGCCTACTGGTTGACTGGGCCATTCTAGTAAGTTAGCTTTCCTACAGACCATACTTCTCAATCTTGTGGAAAATATGTATCCTTTTTTAACGAAAATAATCTTATGGTTACCCAGTGTTAACAGTATTGATGCTCACACCCTGAATATAGTGCTGTATGCTAAGGTACAGATCTTTTGGGTTCAGCATGCCCAGACAGCTAGGTGCTTTATGACTCAAACCTTCCATCGTTGTTTTTGTATTTGAACTACTATGATCCTTTCATGCAGCAAGCTGGGCTATCATTTGGCCTCCATGTGACAAGAATATGTCATTTATATAAGTTCACCTTTGTTCTATTCTCATTAGTCTGCAACTATTAATTCAGACTTGCTTTTTGGTTATTTGGTTATTAGCACAATTCAGAACATACTATTATTTATGCAAATGCATTCAGAAATCTATAGACATAATAATTTTAATTTTGAATATCTGTATTCTAACAAATGAGAAAAAAACTGTTACACAAATTAATCAAAGTTCAAAAGTAACAAAAACAGATTATAGAAAATAAAAAAGAAGACATAAATCCTTCCTAATTGCAGAACCCTAACACAGACGTTCTAGAGAACTAGAATTTCCAGTCTTCTGTTCTTGTCTATGCAGATAGCTGCTTTTAGATTTTGTGATTATAATGTGTATATCATTTCACATACCAGCTTCTCTTTCCAAGCGCCATACAAGAAAGTTGTCTCCATTTATCCTGCCTTAGAAATAAATTTTAAAAAGCAACAAATATTTATTCAGTAAATGTGTATGATTAGAGTGCTGTAAATCTTACAAATTTAGAGTACATTTGTTTAGGGAACCATAGTTGTATTACACCAATTTATATTTCTGTCATAATCAAATATCAAAAGACACAGACTTATTTTAAAACTACTGTGTTATATAAGAACTATACTTAAATATTTATTATAATTAATTGATAACAAAGTACTCTCTATAAATCTCTTCATCAGTTGAGTAGCGCACATAATTTTAAAGATTTCTTTTTTTTGGTCTTGTCTGTGTATTTTTAGCACAAGAAGATTTCACTGAAGCAGGAAAGTACCTAAAAGGATGTGTTATCACTGGAATTTATTCTGAAGAAGATGTTTTGATACTGTAAGTTTATTGGTCTTCTAATTTTAGGAAGGAAGAAGTTTGCAAAATAATATATTGCTTGTCTTTACATAGTTGACAAAGAAAATAGGGCAGAAACATTACAAGTTTTAATTTTCTTCTAGGAAGATCTGGGAAGTACCATGTGGCTATTTAGGATTTTTAGATATTCTTTTACATTCAGCTAGTGCCCCCAGAGGAGCAACCTTGGATTCATATTACTTCATCTTCCTATAAAAATTGTTCTCTTTGGGTCTGTAGTTTTAAAAAATATATATGTTTATTTAATTTATTTTTTTAAATGCATGCATTTAAAAAATATATTTTTATTGAGTTCAGAGAGGAAGGGAGGAGAGAGAAATAGAAACATCAATGATGAAAGAGAATCACTGATTGGCTGCCTCCTGCACGCCCCCTATTGGGGATCAAGCCCACAATCTGGGCATGTGTCCTGACCAGTGAGTTGGTTCATGGGCTGATGCTCCACCACTGAACCACACCAGCCGGGCTATTACCTGCAGTTTTGCTTTTTGGAATTGTTGTATTTTGTGGGGGTGCTTCTGGAATGTTTGGGTTTTGATTTGCCATATATATAAAAATCAAAGTTTTTTCAGATTTTGCCCAGAGTTTTAATTGATGCAACTATACCTGATAGTTCTACTTAATTTTAAGTTAACTGCTACCATACACTTAATTAGTATTTTTTTAAAGCCACTTAAGTTGCTTTATTTGTAGAATTTGGGTCTCCTGTGAACTACCAAATATTTCAGTTGCTGCAGAATGAAGGACAACTGAAAATTTGGAGATGATCACATTCTGCAAAATGGCTCATTTTCAGGTGCAAGTGGAGTTAACCTCAGGAGTTTGTCTTTCTTACCTTCTGACTATAATATTCCTAATTGTGATTTCTGAGCTTAAATCTTTCATGCTGAACTGGTGACATATACTCTTAATGATCAAGCTCCTGTTCTATCCATGAAATCAGTAATTTTAAAAAAATACTGTATTCTAGATTTTTAGGAAATATGAGACCTAGTCACCTGACACATGGACAACTGCCCACTTTTCTGCCATCTTTGTGCATTTAATAATGGCCCAAATAACTAAATCAGTCATTTTCAGGGTGTGTTTTATTTATAACCCAACTGGTCAACTAAGAGGGTTTTGCAGGTAATCTGAAGGCTGGCCTCTCTACCAATGTGTATATTAATCTAATGCCTGTATTTTATTCTAAAAGGAGTTTTTTACATGATATAAATGTGACTATATCACTGGTAATTTCACACAAAGCATTTTTTCCTATTTAATTTAGTGATTTACTTAGCAAAAGTAGTGGCAAGAGGGAGCAGATTTGGGCTCTGTTACAGTAGAGAACCTGTAGAACCTCAGTTTGAATTCTCTCTCTGCTATTTATCACCCTCCGAGTACTGGTTTCCTCTCTGGAAGCTGGGGTTAACAGTGGCTGCTTTATAGGGCTGTTCTAAGGGTTAAATGAAAACTTAACTAAAAGCATCTGGTGTAGTGCCTGCAAACAGTAGATTTCTAATAAATGCCCATCTCCTTGCTCAGCAGTATGGTGAGGAGTCCAGAAAGTTTGAGAGCTATTCAATGTGTTCCTAATCCTGTTTAGACATTTTCTTGATGGATAAGTTCTACGAAAAAAAATCTGGGCAGATTATTATCTGTTGCTTTCTTTCAATCTTGGTCGTCAAGGCTACAGAAGATAAATTTGTCTATAAATTGAGTTATTATTTCCTTGGTAGTAGGACTTCCCATTTGCTGCCTTCCACTGTGACTCCTTGGCCTCATTGTTTATGTTTTTGATGACTTGCTATTATTTAGTTGAAATTTTTAAGTATATATTTCTCCATAGGTCAAATAAATATACTGCAACTCTTCCAGCCCTGCTGCTTGCCAGACACAAAGAAAGCCTAGTAGAGAGCATTCCATTGGCCAACACCCATGCGCAAGAAATAGTTCAAATAATAACAAATGCATTACTGGAAACATTTGTGAGTATATTTTATAATAAGGATGTTATTTGAAATAGGGATATCTAGATGAGTTAAAGGTAGTTTATTTTAATACGTGATTTTCCAGCTTTTATTGGCATATGGCATGATGTTTGTGACAGAGGATTCATTGGGTTGCTGTTTTATTGTTCACTCATTATGCATGAAGCTTCTCTAGTCCACTGCCAAAAGTTTCCATGTCTTTGGATTATTTTTTTATTTCTGAGGCCAGTGTGGCTGATGGCCAGTTGAAGTACTTAATCTAGGCTGAAACTTGGTATAAAGCACATGGATTCCGGAGAATCAGACTGCTTAGCTTCAAATCCTTGGCTTGATTACTTACTGGCAGTGTGTTAACTTCTCAGTGTCTCAGTGTAAAATGTAGGTGATAGTAGCAACTGCAGAGCATTACTGTAAAGACTAAATGAGATTATTTGTGTTCAGTGTTTGGACCCTGGTAGACATTCAACAAATGTTAGCTGACTTTTTTTTTTTTAATTCCAGAGAGGGAGGAAGGGGAAGAGAGAGAGACAGAGACAGATGTCGATGTGAGAAACATTGATTGGCTGCCTCCCATATGCACCCCGATTGAGGATTAAACCTGCAACCTGGGTTTGTGTCCTGACCAGGAATTGAAACCACCACCTTTTGGTGTACAGGAAGATGCTCCAACCAATTGAGCCACACTGGCCAGCACTAGCTGATATTTTTATTCTTTATACAGTTTTAGAACAAAATACTGACTTATGAAAGGCCTTTTTCAATGCTTTGTATAATAGTGGATTCAGGGGCACAAAATATGTAATACACGTTTCTTGATTTCAGTTGTTTTTCTTTTATATTAAACACTAGAGGCTCAGTGCACAAAATTTGTGCAGGGGGGGCAGGTCCCTCAGCCCGGCCTGCACCCTCTCCAATCTGGGACCCCTTGGGGGACATCCCTCTCACAATCCGAGACTGCTGGCTCCTAACCGCTTACCTGCCTGCCTGCCTGATTGCTCCTAACCCCTCTGCCTGCCTGATCGCCCCTAACTGCTCCCCTGCCAGCCTGATCACCCCCTAACTGCTCCCCTGCCGACCTGATCGCCCCCTAATTGCTCTCCTGCCAGTCTGATCGCTCCCTAACTGCTCCCCTGCCGGCCTGATCACCCCTAACCACCTCTGCCTCGGCCCCGGCTACTGTGGCTTTGTCCGGAAGGACATCCAGAAGACGGTCTAATTAGCATATTACCCTTTTATTAATATAGATAGCTAGATTATTATAAATGTATGCTTTTCTATAATTATAAAGTGACATAAGGAGCACTTTTATCAGCTATAAATACTGAACAGATAATCTTGTTTTTATGTTGTTGTGATAATCTAAATGACTACATTTTAAGTTCAAATAAATGACCATAGTCTTAATTATTAAATCTTTTTGTCACATTGGTTCTGTTCCCTCGCTACTCTTCCCAAATTAAAGTTACAGGTTATAATGAATCAAATTATTAATATTTTCAGGATGTGGTTTCCTAAATTATTTACTCAAGTAATAGTTTTGTCTTTAATAACATGATATTAAGTAAATATATACATATATATTTAAGATGACCCAAACTCATCCTGCACATTTTCTACCAGAGACATGGAATCATCTATTTCTTTCTTTTTTTCCAAAATATGTTTTGATTGATTTCAGAGAGAGGAAGGGAGAGGGAGAAAGAGAAATAGAAACATTAATTATGAGAGAGAATCATTGATCCGCTGCCTCCTACAAGCCCCTACTGGGGATTGAGCTGGCAACCCAGGAATGTGCCCCAACCGAGAATCAAACTGTGACCTTCAGGTTCATGGGTTGATGCTCAACCACTGAGCCACACCAGCCGGGCTATATATTTCTTTAGCAAATACACAGTGCAATATTGCTGGAATTATTATAAGCCTTTAACTATTTTTTCCAGATAATACAGAAAACTATAATGAAGAAATTTAGAATCGACCTCTTTAACCAAGTTTAAATTTGGGAATATATTATCCAAAGTTTAAAAAATTTCCATGTGTACATATGTGTTTCATCAAGAAATAAAGATAGGCATATTGGTTTTTTAATATCTGCATAATATTCTGTTGTACTAGAACACTAATTAGTTTTCTGTAGATGAATATTTAAGTTGTCTTTTAGTTTGTTTTGTTTTACTCAGGGTCCATCTTTATAGATAACCTTTCCATGTTTCCATGATATACACTTATGGTAAATTCATAGAGTTTTAGTTGCTGTTCCGAAGGGTAGACACATTTTTAAGGCTCCTGATACTTATTCCTGTTTTGCCCAACAGAAGATCTGTATCATTTTACTCTTTTTTGCCTACCTGATAGGTAAAAATTAGTATCAATTTTATTCATTAAGATTATAATTTTTAAGGCTGAGAAACTTAGGACAAACTTAACTATTAAAATATGTTTATAGTTTACGCAAACATGATTAGCATTGTGGCGTTGTTCAAATTTGCAATGTTTTGGTTTGCGGTGTTCTAAATACTGAACAGCTATAATAAAAGTTATTTTGCTTTTAGTTTATGGTGTTTCTGTAAATGAAAAATCTCTCAAGTGGTTATTAACCTTTTGAGTGCCAACCAATATCCTAGGAACTATGCTAAAATTGCCAAGGCATTTTTGCTGATTTTACAGCAGTTTAGGAAAAAAATTATGAATCGCAAGTAAATGAAGTTACATATTCAAAAACTTAAGGAAACCTTTACTACATTGACATATTTAGCAATATCCTCATCACTAATAAAAGCAGACTTAGAACTGGACGCCATTTCGAAGCTTTGATAGCGCTCCCGGCACTTTTGGCGAAAGACAGAAGGAGCGTGATCACGCTCCCTGGCACTCTAGGGGTTAAATTTCCTAAAGTTGTTCCATGTTGGAGGTTGAAGTCTAGAGCATGTAGTGACTGCAATACTCAGCTAGCAGCAAGTTCCTCTCCTGGTCTGCCCTTAAGTACTAGAAAGACTTTGATTCCTTCATCTGGATAGGAAGGAGGAGTAGATGACCAGATGGTAGATATTTTTAATACAGCATAAAATTTTTATTTTAGTGAACCTGATGACAAAGTAGCCTAGGTAAATAATGCCCCCAAATGACATACACGATCCTGTATAATAAAGCGGTAATATGCAAATTAACCCTCACGCCCCCACAAGATGGCTGCCTAGGACCAGGCCAGCAGGGGGGTTAGTGAGGGAAGATCAGACGACTGAACAGCAGGCTGCGTGAGCAACCAGGCCGG